TCATACAAGCTGAGCTCAGCTTCGTCGGCATGTGGGTCCTGATTGATGTTGTAAGGTCAGGCCTGCTGGGCGAAATCGAAGAGGACCAGGAAGAGTTGGAGGCACTGGAAGAAAAAGCTGCGCGACGAGCGTGGCGAGATGCCAACACAGGGACTGTTGGACGCCGTGAGGGCTGAGGAACGGCAATCGCGTCGACAGCAGGGCAACGTTTCCAGCCGATCGGTTGCTGCTGGCTTCTTGGACACGCTTGCCCGCCGCGCGTTGAAGGGTGTGTGTGAAAGTTGGGGGGGGGGTTGAGGTGGTGGATGAGACAGGATACTCAGATGGACAGGTGGATCAGACGCATGAAACGGGGCATATTGAGAGCACAAGAGAGACATGCAGATGCAGACATACGACAACACATACACACACACACGCACACACGCAAAAGCATATATACAAACACACACACACACACGTATCCACACACACACACACGTACCGTTGCGAGCTTGTGCATGTTTTCTGGGGAGAAAGCCTTGATGAAGCGGAGGACCTTTGGCATCTCCTCCTTCTCCAGCGACACCATCAGGTACTTGAACCGCTGCAGCACTTCGTTGAGCGCCTACATGTGTGTGTAAGTGTGTTGGAAGAAAAAGGCCGTGTGGCAAAGGAAAGAGAGGTGGCAGCAAGTGACGGCGCATGTTGAGCAAGAAATAAAGAGTACACACTTGCACTCACACGCACGCACCATCACACACACACACACCATCACACGCACACACACACACACGCATACGCATCATCCACGCATACGTATCAACCACGCACGCACCGTAAAGTACTCCTTGATTTGCTCGTCGCTGCCGTCCGTCTTGAAGACGCAGAACTCTGCCTCGCCCTTCTCGCACTCAATCACGGAGCCGCCAGGTGCTGGGGTGGTGTGGTTGGGCGTGGTGGCAACATGAGGGATGATGAGAAACAAGGGGGGATCGAGAAGTGCTGATCACCACTCAAATGGGATCCGCGAACGAACGACACAAAGGACGCAATCCACATGTACACGCACATACAAAGAGCAATACAGCGACGACGACACACCCGCACACTCGCACATACACACACGCACACACACGCAGCACAACACACGCAGCACAACACACGCTAACATGCACACACACACCGAGGATGCCGCCGGCAATGAAGATGTCGAAGAACTGTTCTGCATAGCGGCGGTAGTCCATGGAGTCGCCCTGGGCAACGAGGTAGTTCTTGACCTGGCGACAATTCAAGGGAAACAACAAACGCGTCAGTTGTGCCTGCGGCGTGTATTGAAGTCTGTGGGTGTCCGCCACGTGAGTTGATGTACCACGTGCTCAACTAACTGAACGCACCTCCTCGATGTTGCTGCAGGAGTTGATGCCGCTCACGAGCTCGTCGCGGAACGTGTTGGGATCAAACTTGACTTTCTCATCTGTAACCGGCAAAGAAACCACGTCACGTGAGCGACAGACACGTGAGAGCACATGCACGAGTTTGCATGTGCATGACGGTGAATGTTGGGGAGCGTGCGTGGGTGTGCGAGTGCGTCTCGTTCGGCCCTTCACACACACACACACACACACACACACACACACACACACACACACACACACACACACACACACACACACACACACACACACACACACACGCACGCGTGACGCACCGCGCTTCCTTGAGCGGATGGCTCCTTGAACGCTCATGGTTGGTTTGGTTGTTGGCGTGGGTGTGCAGCTGTGGTGACTGTGTGAATGAAGGCGAACTCGTGTGTGGTTGTTGGCTGTTGGCGCAGGTGCAGGAAAAAGAAAGAGCAAAAAAAAAAGGCACAAGACGCAGAAAACTGCTGACTCAGGTGGTGCTGGAGAAATTTGGTGGAAATCTTCAGCGATGTTGCGGTTCGGAATTCGAGGGAGCAGGTAGGAGTTGTGGAGGAGCGGAATCGAGCGTGGATTTGTGTGGGGTGTGTGTGTGTGTGTGTGTGTGTGTGTGTGTGTGTGTGTGTGTGTGTGTGTATAACGTGTGTGTGTGTGTGTGTGTGTGTGTGTGTGTGTGTGTGTGTGTGTGTGTGTGTGTGTGTGTGTGTGTGTGTGTGTGTGTGTGTGTGTGTGTGTGTGGGTGTGCAAGGTCCGCTATTCAAACTTTCAACTGCAACTTTTAGCGTCATGTCAAGGAATTAAGACTGAAACAACACAAGAAGGCGAGATGATACGTCAAGAGGTCAAGAGCAACCTAAAACTGAAAAAGTTCTGAAAGTAGGCAGAAGAGACCTTGCTCAAAGGTGGGTTTGGTGACGAAACAGAATGGATTACAAGAGGGACAAGGAGACAAGTGACAAAGAGACCTCTTTCAACAGAGCCAACACTAATTAAGTAATTAGACAACAAGCAATCAAACATGGTACGTAACCCTGTCACACGACCATATCGCCAGAGTTTTGCCGCAATGCTTCGGTCACAAGGTCAAAGGATGTCTTCATCAACAGCTTCTGTCCGGCCGCTCCCACAAGCTTTCCAAGTCGAGCTTACTTGATTTGGAATCGGCGTCGTTGAGTGTTGAGCGATCCAATTCCGAACATCCACGAGGTCCCAAACGTCGGCAGCTCGCAGATCTCGTGCTAATTCCTCCTGAGGCTGCTGCACAGTGAAGCATGTGGGCACGAGAGTTACGCGCTCTGTATCGAAGGGAATATTGGCACGTGCAAGCAGATCTTGGACCTTGTCCTTGGAATCTTGAAGACTGGCGATAAAGTCGGCCTGCGAGCTATGCTCACCCCTCCACTGATCTGCTCGATGCAGACATATGAGAACCGGCACAGAGGACTGAAGCAATGCAGCCCGAAGAACGTCGACCGTTGCATTTGCTCGAACCTTCGTCCCTTCTACAATCAGAATCAGCAGGTCCACTGCAGCAATGCCATCTTGAAAGACGTGGCTCACGACTGAGCCTGTGTCGTCAATGCCAGGAAAGTCAAGAAGAACAATGTCACCCTCCACATGGGTTGATAGGGATGAATTTCTGTGATGATCGTGTGGCCCCGGATTGGTGTTCGCAGAAAAGATCTGTTTGAGCATGTAAGACTTTCCCAGGTTCATTGCGCCAGCAGCGCCAATGTGAAGCCTTCCAGACAGCCCAAGCCGCAGCTCATGGATCATGCAATGGGCGCGGATCAGGTCCCAGCTTTCAATGGCGGTGTTCTTCTGCAAGTTGGACTTCAGGATGCGATGATCCCCTTTTTTGAGGGCTGATGGCAACTGAGCAAAGCTTTTGGACAAGAGCTCGCGCTTCTGAAGGCCGGAAATGGCGGCAGCTGTCTCAACACGAAGTGTCAAAAGGTGTTCGAGGCCAAGCAGATCGACGCACAATCCTTCATCTGAGATGGGCTGGCCTTGTGTGTCTTTGAGCCCAGCCATCAAATGAGCGACTTCCCGAAGAGACGACACGGTGAACTGAGTCATAAACCATCTCCACACATCCCTCGACACGAAAAACAGGCTCGCGTGGACTTTGTTCCACCAATTGAGGGTTGTGCTTGCATATAGCTCTGAGAACGCATCTTGAACTTGAGCAGTTGTACGTTGCAGGTCATCCTGCTTGTGTATCTTCAGGTTGGTGCTCCACACGTCAAGAGATCGTCGTTCGAGTGACGCAGAAACAATTGCGAGGGCAGTTTGCGCACGCAGTAAGATTGACGCCACCGCAGCTGGGCCGCGCTGCCTCAATGAGTCTGCCATTTCCGATGGCATGAACTCGGAGCCGTCAGGGAAGAGATTGACTGTTGGCGCACCCACACGCACGCTTGAACTTTTACCTCGAGGCCCTCGTTCGATGACGTTGAGCGACGCGTCCTCCTTTTCCGCAAACTTGTACAACCTTGTCAACACGGTTTTCTCCCATGGAGTGAACGAGGTCTTGTTGAGGGTGCGTCTTGTTTCAGCGCAAGTCATGGCAGTCTCCAGCAAGTCAACAAACGCCACAGCAACTTCATTTCGTCTTTCTGTACACTCTTTTGCAGATCTACAGCGACGAACACCGTTTTCAAGAAAAGGACGCGACACTTCGGGAAGGTCAAGAAAAGGGGCGAGCTGCGCTGTTTCAAAAATGCAGTCCAACGTGGAAACCGTATGCTTGACGGCGTGAGTATGCTGCGCATCAAGATGAGCGGCATTTTTTCGGTGATGACACGACAAGATGAGGAGTGCGCGGACCAACGCAGCGTGGACAACTTCAGAACTCGTCAGTCTGTCAAACATAGGGTGCAGGCATTTGTTGCCTTCGCTCAATCTGTGATCTCTGATGTCTTGACGGCGAATGGTCACAATACATTCCTCATCCAAGACTGTCATGAGTGAAAATGCATACTCTTCCATGGCAGGCTCCAGAACAACTGAAGGAAACTCAAAGCGTGCACTGCTGATGCCACTGAGAAAAGCCACCTGAGCTTGGGCTGGCTTAGAAGTGCCGTCTGTTGTTCTTGTTGGCCTCATTTCACGTGCCATGAACAGTTTCTTTCCCTGTAGCTCAACTACAAGGCGAGTAGTTGAGTGGACGGCCAGATGAACGCGAATGTCTCTTGGGCAAAGAAAAGCTCCCTGGAACGGAAAATCGGGTGCGTGTTGGGGCTGGCATGAGACAGTTGGTTGCAACTTCAAACGCACTGCATACGTGCCCAAACTGTGGGCTGCCAGGAGTTGGCTGTGTGAAGGAAAGCCTCCTGAATCTGTACGATTTAGTTCTGGTGGTATCATTTCCTCGTCATAGAAATGGGGAGTGCCGTCAACGTCATCTTCCTCGCGAAAGGACACGGGTGTGGGTAATATACAAACTACTGTGCGTGCCCTGAGTTTGTAGACGCTCCCAAACGGATAGTATTTCACACGAAATACTCGATGACCTATTTCACGCGCGCCGGCTTGCAGCACGCTTGATGTCACTCGGAGTGCAGCAGCGGCAAGTTTGGCCGGAAGTGGGCCGTGGTCTGCAAGAGTCGCAACAACCTGCAGTACAGATGTGCCTTTGGCAAGCTCCTTCAACAATTCTGCAAACTTATGCGCTGCGGAACTCAGGCCGTCAGCAATGCGTTGTTGGTAGAGCGTCATGACAAGTGGGACTATGTCCCCGTCATTGACAATGTGAAAGAAGATATCTCCCCAGCGAGCTTTGATGCACTTTGCAATTTGCTCATCGCCGACGAGAGGTGATGCAAATGTGACGCATCTGAGATTGGACACCAATTTGTCTCGTGACACGTGAACGAGGTCTTCCAGCAACAATATGCAAAGCGTTTGGGCCACGGCTCCTCCTTTGGAGTGGCCCGTCACCACAACCTTTTTATTCTCGTTTAGCACCTGCTGAACGATTTCCCGTGGGAACTCTTCGGCGCAAGAGAGAAAGCCTGAGTGTACCTTGCCCAAGGACTTATGCGTTTGAGTCAACCGTGCGTTTTTCCACCAATCTGTCGCGTCCGTGGTTCCCTTGAAGCCAATGTAGAACACGCTTTCGTCCGCATTTGCGCCGATTATCCACTGTTGATTCAAGCTTTCACTTGTCTGACCACGTTTTACGTGTCGAACCTTGTGTGGAAGACCATTTAGCTGTCGGAGAGTGTGGAGCGGGTTGTCAGAGTATGCACAGATGCTCATGGCCAAAGCACTATCCACGTCCACGTCGCACTGATCCAGTGGTTTGGGCTGACTGAGGTGGAGGCCGATTCTTTTGACTGCCTTCTGTCGCTCAGACAGTGGCTGTGACAACAGAGGGCCCATGGATGGTCTGTTGTGTTGTTGGAAGCCAAAGTTCGGAGAGGAACTCACTTGAACCGAAATTGGTCAAGACAGAAATGGTCAGAACATCACACACACACACACACAACCACACACACAACCACACACGCACAACCACACAACACACACACGCACAACCAAGTTTTCACGCTCACGCACACAAGACGAACCCATGCGGGTCACATCAGCACATCTCGGCTAATTTTCTGTGTTTGACAAACGCTAGCAACCGGCCCGCCCATTCCCTGTTTGGGCGGAAAACCGGACATCGGACACCTGCATGTCCGGGTTGCATGTCCTGTGTGCTTCGGTTTCCTATTTGAGGTGCTTGTTTCGCCAATTTTCGATGCCTCTGGTGCTTTTCACGTGGAGCTCAAACTCAGGCAATGCTTCGGGTTGAGTTGTGCATTTTCTTTTCCTGAACTATCAGCGCGCATCATTGTGTCACTGCAAACTTACGGAGAATGGTGAATGAGCGACTGCTGGAGCAAAATGGGGAAGAACAGGAGGGCTACTGCCGAACGTGTTGGCGTAACTGCACACGAGCTGTTTTTGCGTTTTGGCCTGCCGCCCTCTCTGTGCTTTCATTCGGAGCCCTAGTGGCAGCGGCGTACGGTGCATTGACACCGAAAGACTTTGACGTCACGCAACCGACCCGAGGAGGGCGGTATGAGCTGTTCGAAGGCCTCCTTCTGGGAGCAGCCGGAGCCGCAGCTCTGGCCGTGCTGCTGGTGATCTGCAACAAGGCCAAATTCGACAAGAAACAAAGCACATCCACGCGTCACACACGAGAATCAGACGATCAGGGGTGTTGTTGTCGTTGTGGGTATGCATGGTTGAAGCCCCTGTGTTGTGACTGTGCATGGTTGCCTTGCAACATTCACGACGACGACGACGACGATGTGGAGTCCAGTGGCTCAGTCTTTGAAACAGACCCCATGCCAGACGACCCGTTTGAGTACGAAGAAAAGGACAAGGCCACCTTGCTCACCAAAGTGCTTGTGACTGCGTTTACGTGCGTCAAGGTGAAAACGGGGACACACAACTCCCTTCGGATTGCAAATCGAAAACTCGGACCAAGTGGCAAGTACTTGCTAGTGGGTTGTCTCGTGTTCATGTTTATGGGCATGGGGTGCGTCGTCGTCTATGAGCTTCAAGACCAAGTGTCGACTGCAGTCTGCTTGGAAGGCTATGACTGTTTCGTCTCGAACCCTAACCGAGTTAGTCACAACTCTGAGCCCGTCAACTGCACGGAAGTGCCATTTTTGAAAGCCCCATTCTACTTTGACTGTCGACGCCTGCACCCTTTTGAATTCAGCCGCGTGAGCTCGGTGCTCGGCTCTGCTTACGGCGCACTGCAGATCATTCTATTCGCGATCAACGCCTTCGTTGGGTTCCTGGACAAACAGCCACCGAAATCAAGGCGACAGAACGAACAGACAGGGTATTGTGCCCCCATCACGTCGCTTCCATGGAATTTCGATCGCGTGTTTTGGTGGATGCTCGGGGCGACCGTCGTGGGTTTAGTTTCACCAACAGTATATCTCGCCGTGTCGTTCTCACTGGATTCACTGAACGCCCCTGGGATTGGAACGCTGCTCCAGGTCGTTTTTATCATGGCAGGTCTTGTCATGCTTCCCCTCGCATTTTGTTGCAGCAGCCACCGAAACAATGTTGCTTTTGTGACCGTCAAGGATGGCGTATTGATGGAGTACTTTGGCAGGTTGTCAAAGCAGGTTCAGGAGCAACAGTCACTCCACCCAGAGCGAGAAGAAGTGCCTGGCAAGCTGGACAGTCGCCCCCCAACCACCAAATTTGGTGGTCCCAAAGCCACAGAACAGTCTGTCCAACGCATGGCTTCACACGGCAATGACCCGACAACCGGAGATGATGACACTGCTTCTGCCGTCACCCCTTTGGAAAAGGGCAAACCCCAAGTCCAGTACGGCACCAGATTAACTTCACATCCCGAGCAAGCTGTGTAACACGGATATGCTGCTCTTGTGCAAGCTGGTGTCACGTTGACATGAGATGTGTCAAGTCTGGCAACGTGCCACCTTTCATTTTTTTTTTTTGTTTTTGTTTTGGAACCTTGAGTGTTTTCGGGGTGTTCGATTCTGTTTGGGCGGCACCCCCCCCCCCTTAAGCTGTCGGCCTCTCTGAGCAGAGAAATAAACACGTTGCAAGTTCGTACAAACTGTGAAATGAGGGGGGGGGGGGGTACGCAGTGACTTGTGTGTCATTGCAGACGGGAGGATAGAAGGTGCCGTGTGTGTATGCGTGTGTGCGTATGTATGTGCCGAGCAACAGATGAAGCAGGCGGTGTGCTGCGCTTCACGACCATTCAATGGGCAGTTGGTGTCTGATATCGGTGAGCCTGTGGGTGTTTGTTGGCGTATGCGCGCGTGAGAGCGTATGTGAGTGTGCGGCGTGAAGTTGTGGGTGTCATCCAACGAACATACGTTTTCACACAAACACACCCCAAAACAGCACACCACCTCATGAGGATGTGTCCTGAGAGGGAGAAGAGGAACCCGCCGCCCTGCTGCAGCGAAAACATTTTCTTGATCTCCTGTCGTCATGTCATCATCGACAGCACGAGGGTGGAGGGTGGAGGGGGTGAGAGAGAGTTGACGTTGACGTGGACAGAAGTAGGAGAAGGTCAAGAGGCGGTGCACGAGTTCAATTACACATGTGGCGGGCGCGGGCAGAGAGGAAGTGCGTGCTTGTGGGTATGAGCGTGAGCAAGAAAGGAAAGACACACACACACACACACACACACACACGCACACACACACACACACACACACACACACACACATACACGCACGCACAACCACAAATCTGACCTTGACGTGTCTCCTGTGCAATCGATCCCATATGCGGCGTGTGGCCGGATCAAGCGGAGGCGTCACATCGTCCTCTTCATCAACACCAGCACAGCCATCAGCCACACCACCACCACCTTTGTTACCATCTTTCTGCTCTGTCGCAGTGCTTGTCCCACGGCTGCCACCGTTTATGGCACCTGCCTCTGTCCCAGCATGCGCCTCTCCCTTCTCACCGTCACCACCACCATTACCACCACCACGGCCATTGGTGCTGCGGGTTTCCCCATTTGGAAGGCTGCGGCGCTGCAGTTTGGCCAATGTGTCCGCGGCCACGTGCGCCGACCGCCGCGGCTGCTCCTTCACCACGACGCTCCGGTCGCTGCAGCACACGGACGCCGGCACAGCCGTTCGCGGCACCGCAGACTGCGCCTGGAGCAGTTGCAGTGAGGTGGCGGTTGTAGCGGGTGGGAGGCGGTGTTGTGAATGGGAGGTGGTGAGGTTGTTCTCTCCATTCGCGATTCTGAACATGACACAGGGCCATACACACACACGTACGTACATTGAGTTTCTTTGGAAGTGTTGATGGGTGGAGGGGGATGAGCTCCACATCTTCAATGCCAAACACCTGCGACGCAGACGGAATCAGGTGAGCGACAGCGTAAGCGCAGTCGCGTTGTGCAATCCGCTGCAGCCACCAACACACACACACACACACACAACACACACACACACACATACCCACCCAACCCCCCCCCAAACGCACCCCCAACATACACACCGTCAAAGGCTGCACGGTCGATGAGGTCCCATTGCCGGGTGATGCGGGAGATGCGCAGGCAGTGCTCGAGGTTTGCACTGGCAAAGATGAGATGCTCCCCGTTGAGGTACACGTCCAGCCGCTGCGCCCCTCCGTGCGCCAATGGCACTCCTTTCAGGCCCGGCAGCGTGCCACCACCACCAACGCGAGACGTGCGTGCACTTGCGTTGTGCGCGGCAGCAAGCACCGCCTCCACCGCAGGCGCCGGTGGCCGTGCCGGTGGCTCACTACCACCGCGACGCTGCTGCTGTTCGTGCATCAGCTGCTGGTGGTGCTGTTTGTTGTGGTTGTTGGAGGCAGTCATATCTGGCTACTGTTTGTGGTGTTTGAAAGAAGTGACACATCATGGCAAATTTTCTACAATTGGTGCCACCAACAACAACTGCGACGATGAGGACTTTGTTGTCGCATCTGAGGATGAGGCAGCAGCCCTGGTGGCAGAGATGGAGGATGAGGAGCGACGACACCTGCGCAAGAAGGCAAAGAGGCAAGGGGCGGCGCCTGCTGCTGCTGCTGCTGTGAAGAAGAGGACCCCGAAATACCTGCCACCCGAGGAGCTGTGGATGGAGACATGCGCCATTTCCGGAAGCTGCGAGGCCGTGGAGCTGTGGAGCGCTGTCCGAGCGCGAGTGCCTCCTGGTGCTGCACCTGTACACCTTTCTCAAGCACGAGCACGAGATGGAGAGAGCAAGGAGGAAGGCGGCACGCACGGGTGGCAAGATGGCAACAAGAGACTTGCCGAAGGAAGTCGCCGTCATGCTCGGGTGTTCAGCGGCAACGGTGAAGCTGCTGCTGAGCAAGTGGAATCGAATGAAGCGGGAGGCTGGCAAGCGCCCCAACAGCCTCAAGATCACCAACAACCGGGGCACAAGCGCAAAGCCACAGCGTGTCCCGTTCACGGAGCGCGTGACCAGGCTTGTCAGAGACTTTACCACACAAGCGCAGAGCAGCGGCCGGGTCATCAATGCCACGCAACTCACGAAGCACCTCATTGAGAGCGGGGTGCTGTCTGTGAAGGTGAACCCACTCACGAGCCAGCCGGAGCACAGAGACCTCCAGGCCGCAAGGAGGGCCACACAGCGGTTCTTGGTGCGATCCGGATACTTGCAAACTCAGGGTAGGGATGAGAGAAAGGCACGACCGACAACCCATCTCGACAAGCTCGCCGACTATCTCCACACCTTGTTCAAGAACCGCGAGCGGCCTCCCGAACAACAGCTGCGCGAGGTGCGTGTGTGTGTGTGTGTGTGTGTGCGCGTGTGTGTGGGAGGGGGGGGGTGTATGTGTGTGTGTGTCTTTGTGTGGGGGGGGGGTCTGTGTGTGTGTGTGTCTTTGTCTTTGTCTTTGTCTTTGTCTGTGTGTGTGTGTGTATGTGTGTGTGCACCGATGAATCTACTCGCCACCTCGCCACCTCGCCCCCTACTCGCTCCCTCGCCCTCCACGCGCCGCCTTTTGCCAGTCGTGTTACCCTAACATGTTACGTGTCACTTCATGACGTGCGTTACAGGTGTATCTGGACGAAGCGTACGTGCAAGCAGCAACCAACGACAGCTCTGTTCGGCTGTCCACCCACGATCCCAGTCACCAATGGAACGCTGCTGAGCAGGAGAAGACCACGAAGACGAACGGCCCTCGCATGCGTGTTGTGCTGGCCATTCAGAACCGCGACCCACGCTCCGCCGACCCCTCGCAGCCGTGCACACCGCAGCAGCAGGCAGGCATTGTTGAGGGCACAGCATGGGTGGCTGATCCTGATGAGGCGAAGCGACGGAAGGGAGAGGGCGGTGATCCGACGACGAAGAACAGGAAGAAGAGGAAGGCGAAGATGATGACGCTGATGACGATGATGCAAAAGATGAACGAGCGGAGTGATTCCCACACGACGGATGATAGCAAGGCCGTCGATACGACGAGCTTTCGCCAGTACTGGGTGTCCCAGCTGCTCCCGAGCCTGCACCAACCAAGCCTCATCATCATGGACCACGCAGCACACCGCAAGCTCTTCCCTCTGCACATCCCATACGTTGCGATCGCAAGCAAGGCGGACCTGCTCGGGTTCCTGACGGCGCCACCGACGGGCGCCGAGACAGTGGAGGAAGCTGTGGCGGAGATTGGGACCGGGACACCATTGACATCACAACCAGTGGCAGCAGCATCAACAAGTGGCGGTGATAGTAGTGGTGGTGAAGGTAACGATGATGGTGTTGGAGTTGCAGGCAGCAGTAGCAGCAGCGACAGCCGTGATGAGTAGTAGCCGGCTGTGGAGGCTGATGCCAGTAGCCATGAACGCAAACGGGCACACGTGCCGGGTGCTGGGCCGCACATGCATGTGGACACGTTGAGGCGCCTCGCGAGCAAATGGATCAGAGCACACTGCGTGCCGGAGCTTGTATCGCTGGCGCGGCAGCAAGACCACGAGGTTGCCTTCACGCCGCCACGCTACTCGGACCTGCAGCCGATGGAGCTGGTGTGGGCTCTCCTCGGGGCACGCATGGCCCGGCAGGACGCATCTGGCACAGCCACGTCCGATGTGAGGCAGCGGTTATTGTGCAGCATCGGTGACATCTCCATGGCCTGCAGCGGAGGTGCCCACACCGTCGTACAGGCGCTCATTGACCACGCGGACAAGGTGGCGACACAACAACGCGCCGTTTTGTTTGAGAGTGGGACGTCTCGTCAGGCACCGCGCACCACCGTGTCATCGACGTTGTCCCCTTCACAGCCCGCCGCACACAGCGAAGCGCCCTCTCAACCACACGTTGCACCCGAAATACAGCCCGCACCAGTGCAACACCAGCAGCAACATGATGGTGGTCGTGGCGCATCCAGTGTGGAGGAGCTTCAACAAAGAGCCGATGACTTGCTCGACGTCATCCTCGGCCAATCAACGACGACCACCACGACCACCACCAATGCCACCACCAACATCACTACTACTGCTGCTGGCGTGGACACTTCAAGGGCCGGATTGGACGCGGTTGACGGCCTGGCGGAGGCTGCAGTGCAACTGCTGATGGAGGAGGACGTGCCACTGCAGGCGGAGGGGGATGATGGTGATGATGATGATGACGGTGATGATGATGTTGTTGTTGGCAAGGATGAAGCTTAAGCTTCTCCGGTGTTCATGTACTGCTGTGCGTATGTGTGTGTGTGTGTGTGTGTGTGTCTTGTCTTTGTGTGCCTGCACCTGCACGCTCTGATCTGTTCACCTGCTTCGCGGTATCTCGTTTTATGTTAGAGCAACATATGTTATCGAAACCGCGACATTGTAACCAGACCTGTGGGAGAAAACGAAACAAGGCACGCATTACCAAGCAAGTAACGCGGCGCAAAACAGCGCGAGGTGCAACGAAAGCGACAGTGGGAAGCAACAAACAACGCCCAAACACAAGTTCCAGTGCGTTTGCGAAGAGTGGGGCCATGCAACCAACACACACACTCACACACACGCCACACACACACACACACACCCAGCACACCCAGCACACACACACACACATACAACATAACATACACACACACACACACAACCTTCCCCTCCCAACACAAGCACACCACTATCGTCGTCTGAGGTATGCGAGGATTTCCTTGTACTCTGGTTCCTCCACGGGAATCTCGCACGCCTTGAGCGTGGGGAACAGCCACTTCTTCAAGACGCCCTTTGGCGTGACGATGGCGCGTTCTTGGAGGTCCGAAGGCTTCACAACTGGACCAAGGTGCGGTGCAAAACACGTCAGGCATGTTGAGAACGTCTGCTTGTCTCCAGACGCGCGTTGCACTTCGACAGTGTGGAGGCCAGAGTCCTTGTCAATGGTCACGTGTGGATTGGCGCCTCCTAGGGTGAGCCGTATCTTCTCCCGCAGGATGTCGTGCAGCTCCTCCGGTGTACGCAACGGTGTCTGCACCATGACAACCCAGAACACAAAACAGACCCATGCAGTGAGAAACATTTAGAGGATACTGACACGAGCACACACACACACACACACACACACACACACACACACACACACTCGCTCTCTGGCTAGCCTCACGCACACGCATGTGCGCGTGCATGCTTGTTGATGCGTGCTTGTGTGTGCGTGCGTGCACCCAGTCAATGACACGACTCGTACCAAAGGGCCAAAGTCCTCGAAATCATCATATCCGTCATCATCATCATCATCGTCGTCGTCCACTGGAGAGGTCACCTCGGCTGCAGCAGAGTCTGGTGACTGAGCACTTGGCAGTTCATCCTGCTGTTGCTGAAGGGGGCGCGGGAGCAGCAAGTCCGCCTTGTTCAAACACAGCAAAATGGGCACCTGCATCCATGTCACGGGTGGTGGGTGACGAAACATCAACGCAAGTCTCAAAGTGGCCTTGAGATAATTTTTGAGTTGCACACACACACCTCTTACAAAACCACACGTACACACACACACACACATTCACACACACACACACATTCACACACACACACACACACACATTCACAAAAATTATTTCGTACCCTCTCGTCGGAGAGTTGCCAGGAGTGCGTCCTTTGACACGTGCGGGTGTTTGGCTTGTCTGCCTCAACGACGAAGATGCAGGCATCGACGATTGAATAGTGCGCAGCAAACGCCTCTTCGACCTGTAATTGGATGGATATGCAAAACAACCGAGATGTCGAGATATGTGAGGAAGCCAGTACATACACCGCAACACGTCAAACGCTATTCGCCCCTTTCAGTAACAGCATCAACAACAACAGCAACAACAACATCAGCAACAACAACAACATCATCAGCAGCAGTAACTACATGGCACGCCGCACCTTCTTGGTTGCATCGTCGCTGCCCGGGAAATCAACAAAGACAAAGTGCCGGGCGGCGGGCCACTTGTAGAACTCAATGCGCGTCGAGTTGACGGCGAAGTCGGGGTTGGACTTGAACTTGAGCCGAGAGAGGAACGTGCTCTGAAGTGAAGAACGCATGCCACGCATGACGCCAGGGTGGAGTGAACAAACGAGTGTTTGCAGGAGTTGGCAGACGCATTGGAAGCGACTCCCATGCAAGCTCATGCACACACGTGCACGTACACACAACACACACATACACGCACGCACGTACAAGCACGTACACACGCACACACACAAGCACGCACGCACGCATGTACACACACACACAAACACACACACAAGCACACACCTTGCCCGTCTTGCTGGTTCCGACGACGCCAAACATAAACGTCCCTGCCATCAGTTCTCGCAGGCGGAAGATGAGCCAGACGTCGCGGAGGAACAGCAACGCCCGCTTGCGCGCTGTGTCGTCGTCTTTCACATTGAACAGGGGATCGCCTTGCTTGAGTTTGGAGAAGTACCTGGCCCGGAATTCCGCAGACATCAGGGCGGCTGGGTCGATGCTGTGGCCCACAATCGCTTTCACCTTCTGTGCAATCCCCTTTTGCACAATGGCCTTCTCAGCAAAGTACGTTGGGTCGACCGGCAGATCCTCGTTCTCATCCAGGCCAAGTAGTTGAAGCATCAGCTGTTTTGGTACCATAGCAGTGGGTGATTTGCGTGTTAGCGCGTACGTTTGTGCGTGTGTACGTTGGTGCGTGTGCCGTACATGTGTGTGAGCAGTGCTCTGGCATGCTGCGAATGAAATTGCATTGACGTCCGTGCATGCACGTACACACTGTTTGTCGTGTACCCACCCCCCCCCCTTCTCCACACACATACACACACACACGCACACACACACGCACACACACACGCACACACACACACACACACACACACACACACACACACACACACACACACACACACAAACATCAACACACAAACACACACACACACAAGTATGCCCACAACACCGCACCTGAAGATTCTTCTGGTATTCCGCCTGATTCTCGTTTAACTTGTCCAGAACATCCCCAAGTACTCCCGCAAGTAGAAATGCAGCGATGCTGCCTGTCAGCATGGTGAGGCCGCCAACCTCTGCAAACAGGAAGTAGATGCCCGCAAATAACCCACCAAGCGAAAAGAAGGCAAGGCCAGCCATGATGATAGTGATGGCAGTGGTTAGCGCGACAATGCCAGGCCCCTTCTTAACAGCAATGTCTGGGTACCCCGTACGCGCGAGCACGTCCAGTGTTGACCACGAAACCGCTCGGAGCGCATCCTGTGCACACGTGCTCTTGTCATTCCGGAACCATTCTGAGGCGCGTTGGTACGGCAGCCGTTGTTCCTGCCTGTCTGCACATGCTCCTCCAGCGGGCTGATCATACACCTGATGCTTGTGCACTTTCAGGTGCCATGAACCACGTTGAAAGTCGCACGAGGAACAATAACTGAGGTGAGAATTGACATCGATGAGTGCAACAAGAACAGCACAAAAGCGCCTTCAAAGTGGAGTTTGCTGCACAACCCTTTTGTTGCAATGAAATGCCCACACCAAACTCACGACAACACAACGCAACCACACACACACACACACACATCCTCACCTGCATTCCTCATTTTGCCCGCCAAAGCCTTCGCGTCTGCGGTGTCCACTCCAAATACATGCTTGCTTGCATCTACCAAGGCACCTGTATCTTGGTCCTCGCCCTCTTGCTCCGCCATGACTTGAATGGCCTCCTGCAGTGGCTTTGTGCGCTCGTCCTGATACTTGAGTTCTTCGATCGAAATCGTGGAGCCAACGACTTCACGCAGGGCCGCTGCAGGCTCGTCCTTGCCCCTCTCCTGCCACCGCTTCGCAGCCGGTGTTACATCGCCCTCCTCCAACTGCGCAAGGATCTGTAGCACCTCTTCTTGTTGCGCCTTGTTATCTGAGAACAGGGTGAGCAGGAAAGCCTGCAGAAGTAACATGTGATGGCAGAAGCAACATGCGAGTATAGGTGATGGAAGATACACCTGTAAGCGTTTGAGGTTTGGTTCGCCCCACAGATCAGTGCAGCACACATAAATGCACCACACACACACACACACACACACACACACACACACACACACACACACACACACACACACACGCACACACACACACACGCACACAAACCGCAGCATACTTGGTTGATGACGTCGTGACGTGAGAGCTTTGCGGCCTGCGCCAGCTTGCCAAACAAGGGCAACTTTGAGAGTTGAGTGACATCGACACGCACTGTGCTCGCAGGCGCTGTGAATACGGTGTAAAGTCGCACATCAAACACGGCCTTTGCCTGTTGTGTCGTGCATGAAATCGTCACCTCCAGCCGCTTCCCACCGTCAAGAAGCACAGGCGTGAACTTGCGCTTGTGGCCATCAAGGGAGCTTGTCACGTGCGTGACAAACGCAAACCCGTCGCCAGTGAATGTGAGATGGTGCTGTTGGCTGTTGGCTGTCAATGTCGTGCTCGAGTGGTCTGACTGGAACATCAACTTCCGAGGGGCGGAGAAGTCGGGATGCTGGGTGAATGTTGGGATTCGGGGTGTTTGCTGCGGATACCATGCATGCCGATTCAAGTGGTGGCCCTGGCAATAGTGGTCCAGAAGATGGTTTTTGAGGAGCTCGGCCTTCAGCTGCGGAAGTGTGTGTGTCTTGAACAAAGCGGCATGAATCTCATTTGGGTTGTTGTATGGATTCCATTTTGAGTCCTCAAAAATCAGGTACGTGCCAAAGGGCGAATAGTCACTCTGCATGCTTTGGCTCGCAAGGAAGCCAAGGTACCTTGCAAGTGTCATCCAAAGGCTCCCCTTCGCGTTTTGCGAAATGACAGATGTAAGGCTGCCGAAGAATGAGCTGCGGCTCTCTGGCTGGCTGAAGGCCTTGTTGAGAACTTGCGCGACAAGTGATGACCTCTTAGAAGCGTCTGCTTGGGAGCTGAATGCACGCGTGAGCATGGTCAGCACGCGTGGGACAATGTCGTTGCTGTACACGTGGAACCGGCAGTTGCTGTGAGCCACGCCAGCACCACCAATCTCCCGCTCAAACTGCTGCGCGAAAGCCCTGTCTCCGACAAGAGGTGCGCCAAACGTCACCACGTGCACGTTTCTGCGGTCGTCGTGCTGGTGGCACTCAAGCAGCACGCGCAACGCCACCAGCTGTGCCAGCGCACCGCCGAGCGAGTGGCCGCAGAACACCAAGCGGTACTTCTTCTTGTCACCTGGACTCCCGTGGAGCAACCGCACAAATGGCTCGACGGGGATCTTCTCAGCCACGCGAAGAAAGCCCAGATGCACGCGGCCCTCGATGGCCTCGCTCATTGGAGGGACGGCAAACGCCGTCATGTCCGTCATGGCGTGTTGCAGCGTCTGCGTGCTCTGGAAGCAGATGTACACGGGGGTCGTGTCTTCGCCGTTGAGCGGATCGTCGCTGCCAAACGCGACGATGAAGTGGTGGCTTTCAGCGGCATTGCGTGTGAAGGCAATCTCCTTCAGCTGGTGGTATCCGTCGCGCTTGTCGAGGTTTTGGTTGAAATGCCGTTGAATTGCCACTTCTTGATTGCTGCCCCCGTTGCTCAGGCATTGCGCCAACAGGAGACACATGTCGGTGTCTCGACGGCGTATGACATCTGGAGGTAGCCTGGGCGCGTGTTGGAACACAAGCGTCGCAGGATGGCCTCGGACTAACACACAGGTGTACAAGCAGCGCCATTGTGAGCGCGTCAAGCAGGCTGAACTTGGGCTGGTGGTAGGGAGGTGTCGGTGACGGTTCATAACGTGGGTTGTTGGGGGGAGAGGCAGCACGATGAGGCGTCAGTAAGCATGAGATGAGCAACAATTGACTTACGCCTCTGCGCAAAGGTTTGGTCCATGAGACGGGCGGGAGTCACTGGTTGTGGGATCACCAAAGATGTCACAGTGTCATCTCCAACCGGAGGTACCTCTGTTGTCTCCACAACGTCGGCTGCAACAACTTCTGCGAGGACATGGCCGCACCGCACGCCTTCTTCAAACAGCCTTGAGCCTACCAAAGCAAGTGCCCAAGAGGAGTGCGTACGTGAGCAGAGAGAAGTGTGTACGTGAGTGCGCGGACACAAGCCAAAAGACACGACACAAGGGACGAAGGGATACAAACAGACATGGGTCGGTGGAGGCGTTGGCGTAAACCTGCACACATTCAGCAAGCAGTGGTGTACCTTGATGACAGAATGAGACGACATGTCGCTCGCCGTCCCGCATCAGGCCAAACGTCGACACTGCCTGCTGCAGGTCGTTCACTGTCACTGTCACCTGCGTCACAGTCGCTCTGGTGGTGGACATGACGCTGTTTGTTTGTTTGGGTGTGAAGTTCGGAAAATTGGTTTTATTTTCCGTGAATAATCGGCAATCTGCGACAGTGCGCACACCAAACGCGACGAACACACACACACACACACACACACACACACACAGCACACACACACACACACACACACACACACACACACACACACACACACACACACACACACACACACACACACACACACACACACACACACACACACACACACACACACACACACACACACACACACACACACACACACACACACACACACACACGATGGAGTGCTGGAAGCTGGTGGCTGCCCGCATGTTGTCGACCTCTGATGCCAGCGATGCGTCGGGCACGCTGAAGGAGTTTGATGTGAGGCACAAGGCAGACTGCGCCAAGGCGCGCGCGTTCCTCAACCTCATGTTCACCTGCCGCGAGCTGTACCACGACCTGCCCTGGGCCGTGCCCAAATGGTACCTTGCGGAAGTTCTCACGCAGGCACTCGGCGACAAGAAACCGCGCACATCCATACAGGTGCGAGACAACTTTGGCGCAGCGGGCTCCGTGCCTGCATACGCCGATGTCACATGGACTGTCGACGACGATTCCACCGTCTCAGATTGGCTCGACACGTTTCAAGCCGCACTTCTCCCACCGCTGTTGGCAGTGCAAAGGATGAGTGCCGACGACAACAATGGCAACAATGACAGTGGTGACTGTGGCAACGCTGCTGTGTGGATGGAGAACCGCTTCCTTGCGTACTCCTGGCTCGGCGTGACCTGGGCCAGCGACCTCCCCTTCTTGCAGGCGCGGCTAACAGGTGTTCAGTCCTCGGCTCCTGCCTTTTGGAGGCAGTTTGCTCGGTGCGGACGCATCACATTCAAATGCATGGACGACATCGAAGCATGGGCTGCTGCCGTGGACGCAGGTCGACAGGAGAGGGGGTGGATGGAGGTGGGAGGCGATAAAGAGGACGAGGAAGGAGATATGGTGGGAGGGGATGTGACAGAGAGAGGGGATGTGACAGAGAGAGGGGATGTGACAGAGAGAGGAGATGTGACAGAGAGAGGGAAGGTGACAGAGAGAGGGGAGGTGACAGAGAGAGGGGAGGTGGGAGGGGATGCTGAACACAAACAACAACAACAACAACAACAACAACACAAACAACAACAACAACAACTTAAACAACAACAACAACAACAACAACAACAACAACAACAACAACAACAACAACAACAACAACAACAACTTAAACAACAACAACAACAACAACAACAACAACAACAACAACAACTACTACTACTACTACTACAGCAGCAGCAGCATCAACATCCCGCCCTGTTCTTTGCCAGTGTCGAGTTCAGCAGCCAAGCAGGCGCAAACCGCTTCAACGAGCTCCGATCCACAGCGTTGGGTGGTGCACGTGCAGAGAGATTGAAAATCACAACCACAGCACCGTTGGCCTCCCTGACTCTGTGTAATGCAAACACACTCATCCTGGACTCAATGTGCCAGAAGCTGGAAAGCGTGATCTTTCGCGACATTGGGCACATAAGATGGCTCAGCATGGCGCATGAGCAAAACACGCTCCAAGGCGAAGTGTCCAACGTCGGCGGCATCAACTTTCATGGCCTTGTCGAACTTGATGACTTTGCACTGTTTGCCGGCCTGCACTGCGTGAGGATCGCAAACCGACACGTGGACCTTGTACCGCTTGCTGGCATCAACACGCTTGTGCTTGCGCGTGTGACTGTGGACGACCAGTCTGTGATGGCAGACGCGGAGGAGCTTCATGTCCACGAGGCGCCGCTTGAGACTGACACACTCAACGCCAAGCGCGTCACACTGTCCTTTGTGAAGGGCGATGTGCCGGCTCGCATTCATCTTCCAAACGCCACCCACTTCGGGCTGGGGTACGGTTCCTGGAGTACGCACGTGAAGTTTGTGCTTCCGCCCCGCGTCGACACCATCACGATTCGAAGCGTGGACCTCAACATTCCACGGTTCGAGCACGCGCGGGTGCTGGACCTCGACTGCCGTGGCAAGGTCAACCTGTCTGCCTTGGCACACCGCGTGGACAAGCTGGTGATCCGCAACCCAGTCGTGCTGCGCACCAGTGCAGACAATCCGTTGGGCCGCCTGCTGCCAGTGCCAGACAACGTGTACGTGTGCTTGGACGACCTCCGCATCGTCCTGACGGGGAGCCAGCTGCCGCAGTGTGTGAAGGAGCTGTCTGCAAATGGGCGTAGAATTGTCAGCAGACGCGAACCCGGCGCGTACCGGCCCGGCACTGTTGCTCGTAAAGACGCTTCCAGCACGTGCTTGACCAATGTCCCGCTGCTTTAACTCAGCAACTACCGCCTTGGCGACGTGGGCGCCCTGCGTGGGCGGCGGCAGCTTCACCTGGTGTGCGTGACGCTTGATGGCGTGATCAGCGACTGCAACCACGTGTCACTTCGCCGCTGTAACGGCTCCTCTGCTAACTTAAGCGGGATCACATGGCTGTATCTGGAGCGGGCCACGGTCATGGCAAGCGACGATGATGACAAGGACGTCGAGGAGGACAACGACGGCGATGACAGTTCACGTGTTCCTCAGAACCCGGAAGCCCCACTGCGTGTGCAACGCATTCAACGCGTGTTCACGTGTCAACTTGGCGCCTGCAGCGTCACGGCCTCCTCCTGCTTCCGCAATGTCCACCGCCTCATCCTGGAACGGTGCACGTTCGATGACCTGGGTGCGCTGACGGCGGTCGGCTGCCTGGTGGTGCGCGACTGTACCAGCATCGACCGGCTGTGGGCGTGGCCAGATGCGGTGCTGGTGAACCGGACGCCAGAGGACATGATGGCCGTGCTCATGAGCGGCAGGGTGGAGAAGGTGTGAGGGTGTGTGTATGTGAGAGTGAGAGAGGTGCCGGACACACACACACACACAGACGGGGGAAGGTGTGAGTGTCAGCGTGTGCGTTGAAGATTTGTTTCCCTTGCGCCTGGTTGAGCAGCTTGGCTGTGCCTTTGACCATTGCATTGACGGTAAAGTGTTTGAGAAGTTCATTGTGTATTTGGGCCGTGCAGCTTGCGTATTCTTGTGCACGATCACCAACAAAATCAAATCAGAGACACGCACCGCCAAAACGACGCACACCCGCGCTTCAAGACATGTCCACACCATTCACAGTACCAACAAGCATCGGCTGTCATTCGCATGTAACGAACGCATTGGCACGATGTCAAGACACAAGAGCACGGTAGCAACTCGCACAACCTGAACATCTTTCGGCAACCTGCTGCGTGAGAATGGGGCCAAACTTCACCGAAGCGAGATTGCCACACCTCACCAGAGCTGAAGGAGGTCGATCGTGGGTGTTGACAAAGGGCGTGCGCGACGCCACTGGCGAGTTTGCAGCTGGCAGCGGCGGGAAGTGGGTGCGAGGTTAGTCTCACCCCGCAGAGGCTGGGGACGTGTGTGCATGCAGTGTTGAGCAGAGGAAGCGCAGGATCAAGTTGCGACGCGTTGAAGAGGATTGGTGGGCTACTTGAGCGGAGATGAAACGGAGCAGGGGGTTGCGCTGTACTGGGGAGTGTTGCTGCTGTTGTCCAGAGGGAGTTGGGGTAGACTGGTGTTGTGAAACTTGACGAATGAATTCCTGCAGACGCAGTGCAAGTAAATTCTGCTGCCCATCTTTGGTGTGTGGGTGGTCTGGGCCAAGCGTGTCCATCAAGATATCGACAGCTCGTTGCATCAACTGTTTTGCGCGGGCATAGTCGCACTTGCTGTAGTACACCCCACCCAGGTTGTTGTATGTGGTTGCTGTGTCTGGATGCTTCTCCCCCAACGTGTCCAGGCGGATCTGCAGGCTCTTCTGGTAGTAGTGGATGGCGCGGTCATACTCCCCCTTGCTGTTGTACACCCCGCCCAGGTTGCCGTATGTGGTTGCTGTGGACGGATGCTTCTCCCCCAACGTGTCCAGTGTAATGTTCAAATCCTTCTGGTAGTACTCCAGAGCACGGTCATACTCCCCCTTGCTCCTGTACACCTGGCCCAGGTTGTTGTATGTGGTTGCTGTGTCTGGGTGCTTCTCCCCCAACGTGTCCAGCTTGATCTGCAGGCTCTTCTCATAGTAGTGGATGGCACGGTCATACTCCCCCTTGCTGTTGTACACCTGACCCAGGTTGTTGTATGTGGTTGCTGTGTCTGGGTGTTTCTCCCCCAACGTGTCCAGCTTGATCTGCAGGCTCTTCTGGTAGTAGTGGGTGGCGAGGTCATAGTCGCCCTTGCTCTTGTACACCTGACCCAGGTTGCCGTATGTGGTTGCCGTGTGTGGATGCTTCTCCCCCAACGTGTCCAGCTGTATCTGCAGGCACTTCTCATAGTAGTGGATGGCACGGTCATAGTCGCCCTTGCTCCTGTACACCTGGCCCAGGTTGCCACATGTGGTTGCTGTGGACGGATGCTTCTCCCCCAACGTGTCCAGCTGTATCTGCAGGCACTTCTCGAAGTACGCCAGAGCGCGGTCATAGTCGCCCTTGCTCTCATACACTTGACCCAGGTTGTTGTATGTGCCTGCCGTGTGTGGATGCTTCTCCCCCAACGTGTCCAGCTGTATCTGCAGGCACTTCTCATAGTAGTGGATGGCGCGGTCATAGTCGCCCTTGCTGTAGTACACCTGACCCAGGTTGTTGTGTATGGTTGCTGTGGATGGATGCTTCTCCCCCCACGTGTCGAGGTAGATCTGCAGGCTCTGTTGGCAGTACTCCAGAGCACGGTCATACTCACCCATGCTGCAGTGCACCCCGCCCAGGTTGTTGTACGTTCTTGCTGTCTCTGCGTGTTTCTCCCCCAAGGTGTCCAGCTGTATCTGCAGGCACTTGTCATAATAGTGAATGGCACGGTCATAGTCGCACTTGCTGCAGTACACGTGACCCAGGTTGTTGTATGTGGTTGCCGTGTGTGGATGCTTCTCCTCCAACGTGTCCAGCTGTATCTGCAGGCACTTCTCATAGTAGTGGATGGCGCGGTCATAGTCGCCCTTGTTGCAGTACACCTGACCCAGGCTGCTGTATGTGATTGCTGTGGACGGATGCTTCTCCCCCAACGTGTCCAGCGTAATCTTAAAACCCTTCTGGTAGTACTCCAGAGCACGGTCATACTCACCCATGCTGTAGTACACACCGCCCAGGTTGCCGTATGTGGTTGCTGTGGACGGATGCTTCTCCCCCAACGTGTTCAGCTCGATATCCAGGCCTCGTTGAAGAAACTGCTCCGCTCTTTCATGCTCTCCAAAGTCAAGCATGACCAGTCCAACTCTGTTGCACATGCGTGCAAACTCGGCCGTGCCGTCTTCGCCTCCCATCCCCATCTCCTCCAAAAATGACTTTGCCATCATCAAACACCAGGCGCGCATCCGTCCTTTCACAGCTCTGTTCACTTCAGGGAAGCCCACAGTGTCCTCAATCGCCTTGAAGATCATCTCCTTGTCTGCTCGCACACTTGCGCTTGCTTTCCCTGCTTGCACCTCCACCAGCATGTTGGTGATTGCCTTGTGATCTTCAAGCAAAGCTTCCCTCAGCTTCGTGCGCTGGTGCTGTGGCAGCCTAATCTCCAATCCAACATCGCTTTCTTGGCTGATGGCGCAGAAGATCTCCCACAGACACCACGCGCGTGTCAGTGGGACGGGCTTGTTCCACGGCGTCAGCACCAGCAGCACCTTGCCAATGGATGCAATGGCGCTCTTGAACGGGGCCCCAATCCTGCCATAACGTGTGTGTGTGTGTGTGTGTGTGTGTGTGTGTGTGTGTGTGTGTGTGTGTGTGTGTGTTAAGGTGTCGAGACGAAACGCACACACTGGTGAAGCAACCTGACACACACACACACACACACACACACAACTCACTGTTCTGGCGACAGGCCCATGCGCGATTCTGTGTGCTGGTTGTTGCAGAAGAGGTCAAACCAGAAGAACGTCTCTTGCTTGCTGTGCTTGGTTCCATCTTCATCCTTGTGTTTCTCCTCCTCCTCCTCGTCGTACTCCAGCATGGTGGTGAGGACATCGGAGATCTTGTACTTCCAGGCGTGCGACACAAACACGGTGGCTGGTCCCACTTCCTCCGGCTTGGTTCTGCGCAGCAGGTCGATGTACGAACACTTCCATTCCTTCGTGCGGTGGATCACGGGCTTGACACTCGCATCGTACGTCGTCACCTCCTCGTAGTTGTCGGGGTGATAATCCTTGATCTGCGACATGAACCGCTTGATGGCAGAGGTGCTCACGCCATCCGTGCAGATGGGCGCTGCTGCTGTTGTGGTGGTTGTGGTGGTTGCAGTTGTTGGCTTTGGCGTGGACATTGTCGTTCTTGGCGGTGTTTGTTTGTCGACGGAAGGGTCAGTGGCAGCGTATTCGACAGCAGCTGCATGTGTTCTTGTGGCTGGATGAATGAACTCTGCTTCTCTGCTTCGCTGAGTCTGTTGAGCACACGTTGATTGACAAGACAAGCACTGCTCCTCTGCGCTCGGCACTGTTCCTGGTGCTGGCAAGCAAGCCAGGCGAAATGACGCACAGTCACATTTCACATTCTCCAGCGTTTGCGACAAACCCTCCCAAGCACACTGTCGCTGCGTGAGCAATCAATCCACTGGCACGACGACGTTTTGCCACACAAACACAACAGGCAAATTGAGGCATTCAGAAGAGGAAAGTGTTTGGGCCCGTACCATCCAGTTGTTTCTATTGCCTCTTGTGGCTGTTGTGCAAATTTTCCACGCGGAATCAAAAGAAAAACAAAAACAAAACACAACAACAACCGCCACAGTTGCAGCGGACACTTGCCTGCTCCATTCACAGTTGGTGTGTGGTTGTGCTGTGGGTCTTCTTGGCGTGTGCTCTTTAGCTGGCTTCTTTGGGGCGAGCAGTGGCCGACCCTGGTCCGCTGGTGCTGGGAGGAGCAAACTGTGTTGATGGGCAGGTCATCCCTTGAGATGCAGTCTTGCAGTGGCCTGCGGCGCAAGAGAGCTTTGCGTCCAACTGCTTCGACGTTGTTGAGTAGTTGAGTGCCCGCTTGCCCGACTCCCCTCCCTTTCCACGTACACTGAGCTTTGACGTCGCTATGCACAGCTCGGTGTGTCTGTGGTGGCTGGCCGACGCCAAGCATCAAAAGAGCGTCTCCTTTCACAATGACGACAACTCCCCAAGCTGGCAATGCATGCCATCAACCAGCTAGACGTTGAGGTGGACCAGAAGGAGGTGGACGGCACAGAATCAAGCACTTCAGCAACACAGCCACGGGAGGCGCAGCTGGTCATCGTTGATGGAGCTGTACAAGTGTACATCTGCATTCAACAGAGTGTGTGCTCCTCAGCTGGCTGGAGCCTGCTGCCAATGCTGGATCACTGCTCAACTGCTTTCTGGTCGTTGCTAGCGGGGACGACGACGACGCGTTGCAGACCACACTCGAGACCGAGTCCGTGCCATACATCAGCAAGCATGACAGCTGGCTTACAGTCAGTTGACTGGTTGATTCGGCGCGACTTTTCCTTCTTTTTGCTGCGACTAACAACCCACGGAGCAAGTTGTACAGCCAGCTCTGCTCAGATGGTGATGACGACCTCTGAAGACATTGGGCACGGGAGGAGCGACGAGCGCTGGCTGGGGTTGTCGTGTGTTGTTGATGTGTGAGCACAGAAACAATGTTTATTCATTGCATCTCATATGGATCAAAGCCTCGCGAAATGCTGTAACAGTGGGAGAAAACTGAAGCAGAACGAAGGCAGGCACACACATACACACACACACGCACACACACACACTCACACACAAGCCCATCGTCAAGGTACATAATCATGACCACATGCATCAATTCTTCAAGTCTGTTTCGTGGAGCTGCTTGAAAGAAGGGCGGCGCTTGGGTTGCTGCTCCATGCATTTGAGCGCGACTGTTTTGAACCATTCGGGAATCGGGTCTTCAGTGGTCACAAAGTCATTACATGAACACAAGTGTCACCTGGGGTTAGGTTGCGAAGGAACACCGTGAAAGCGTGTCCATCATTGCGACAGAATCCCATTCTACAAACACAGCAAGTATGTACATCACACCCACATAATGTAACATACACACAATCACACGCACACACACGCACACACAGTCACACACACACACACACACACACACACACACACACACACACACACACACACACACAGTCACCCACCCACACACACACCTTTGTCGCGGTCCTCTGAGAATGACAGGCGTTTTCCTTCGTCAAGTAAGTTACTGATGGTGGCGAGGATTGGTCCTCGATACCCGCCCCCCTTCTCCTGCTCAATCAGATCAGGCACCCGCTGTGTCGCCACCTCCCACATCAGCACGCCAAAGCTGAACACATCCGCCTCAAAGCTGTACTTGTCGCCTGTCAGTGCCTCTGGTGCCATGTACAGTGGCGTGCCCACCCCAGCCGTCAGCGTCATGCTCGTCATCGTCTGCAGTCCAGCCTGCTGGCTGTATTGGGGGTCAGCATCGCTGGAGGAGGAAAGTCGAGTGTGCTGCTGGTGCTGGTTTCTGTCGCGTGCAAAGCACTGGCGGATGGATCCGAAATCTGTGATTTTGGCGCGAAGCGATGATGACACCAGCACGTTGCCGCTTTTCAGGTCTCTGTTTGGATGATGTTAGGATGTTGGTGTAGTTGGGGTGAGGGTAGGATGGTGCGGTGGGCAAGAAGCACGTGCCTGCATGCAGACGCACACACACACACACACACACACACACAAACACATACACACACACACACACACAAATCATCCAACCGGTGCATTTGGTCGAGGCTGTGGATAAAGGCCATGCCACTCGCAACTTCGCGCAGCAGTCGTAGCTTCAGGTCCCAAGCAGTCGCTACACGGGAGGTTCCTGCGCCTGTGCCTGTGCCAGCTGTGCTGACCAACGTGACGGTTTCGCCGACTTCCTCAGTCAACACTTCCCCATGGGACTCTTGATCGACCTTCCTGTTCTTCACCTCCCTCAGCATTTTGTCCAGGTTCGTCCGCAACAGGTCCTTGAGCGACCCCATGGCCACAAACTCCAGCACCAGGAACGGGCTGCCGTTGGGGTCTGTGCCCGCACCAAAGAACCGCACCACATTCGGGTGGCGTGTCCGCTGCAAAAACTCCACCTCCTTCTCAAACTCAAGCACCGTGCTCTTGTCAATCATCATGACGGCTTGCTGCAACACTTTGACCGCCACCATCACTGTGTCCCATTCTGCCTTGAACACCACGCCAAAGGCACCCGCAGCAACACGCTTAATCATCCGCAGCTCATCGTACTCAATCTCCCATGCCTTCTTCAGCGCCATCACTTCCGCGTCTCGCTCCACTAGCAGCTGCTCCTGCAGGTTGATGCGAGCGGCAGCAAGTCTCGCTCGGCGATGCACGCGTCGATATCGTACATACCACCAAATGAGTATGGGAAGCAATATCCCAAGAGTTATGCCCACAGCAAACGGTCCAACAGCCTGGTCGAGCTTAAGTCTAGACTGCTCGAAGCAAAAGTTTGGCCCAGAAAACCCACGTGCACACGAACAGTCAAACGAGTACACCAGTTCTGAGGTCAGTGTTGCTGGGTCTTGCTCCGAACGAACTTCTTGTGTATCCAGCGTGAGAGTGCACTGCACAGGGTTGGCTCGGGTTTCAAGAAGAAGTACAGATTTTCGTTGAACAATAGGGGCATAGGATGTCGTCAGAAGTTTGCGGTTCGATAACGAGTACACACCGCCAAATATGTGGTTCATGACAGGCAATGTATCCATCCAACGGTTTTGCGAAATATCGAAAATCTCCAACTGTTTAGCACAGCGCCTGGCCACGTCAACAGCAACGTCTTGTACATCCCAAAAACGCCAGACATGTGACAATTCCCGAGCAAAGAGCGCTCTCGTGCCCAGAGTGTCACAGATGGGCAAGGTTGGAGGCACCTGTGTGCCACTGATGTCCAAGACTTCGACGCTTGGCGCTGCGATACGAGAAAGGCGGTTGGAATCAGACACATCCAATGTGGCCAGCGGGGTGGGAAGTTCAATCGACAAGAGGCGATGATTACGCGGCAAAAGAACGGACGAAAACCTCTTCCCAGGACACATACTGACGTGTTGAAACGAGGTGCCCAACAATCGAAATTCCTGCACGTCGTCATTGAGTAAGGTGCAAATTCCAATCATGGGTGTAGAGTGGTCGTCCATTGTGACATGGCCAAGGTGTAGGCTTCTGAAGCGCATGGCGGGTGCTTGTCTCACGTTCGAAAGCCATTCCCGAGCGTCAACGTTGACCAGGGTGAGAGTGTGTAAGCTGGACTGTGCTTGGTCCTGCAACATCTGCGGATTCACGTGAGCAACACTTACAACATCAGGGCTTGCATCCAGCTGAGCGACCCGCAACTTTGGTGCAATCAACACAGCTGTGAGGTTCAGGTTTGAAATGTGATGGTTTGACATGCGAAGCTCTTGCAAGCTTGGAAGTTGATCCAGCTGAACAAGATCTTGCATTCGATTTCCGTCCAACCACAGGCGCTCGAGTGAAGGAAGGGCGACGCACAGCTGAGTCAATCCGTTCGCCTCGAGCCACAAGGACTTTAGGTTCGTGAGGTTGTGAAGTGCTCCGTTCACAGTTGTAAGTTGGTTGTCCCTCAGCGATATCTCGGTCAAATTTGTTGAGAAATGAAAGATTTGATCAGGCAATTGCGAGAGGCCGTTACTTTCCATGTGAAGCTCCTCCAGGCTTTCGCAGCCTTCAAGCGCATCGTCTTGCACTTGCCAAATGAAATTGTTTTGCAGATACAAGTAACGCAACCTTGTCGAATCATGAAACATCGCACTCTCGAGGGTACGAAGCCGGTTGTTGTTGAGGTGCAGCTGAGTAAGCTTTCCGAGTCCTTGGAAGGTGTGGGCATGCAAGTTGCTCAGCCGGTTGTTGCTGAGGTCTAGCGATTTCAGCATGGTGGTGTTGGAGAACAAGTCACCTGGCAAGATATCAAGCGAATTGTGTTTAAGGCTTAGGGTTTGCAAACTGGAAAGGTCACCAAAGTCGCCCTTGTGTAATACAAGCCAATCTCCAAAGAAGCGTTCCCCGTTGCTTGAGAGGTCGAGTTCTCGTAACGAAGAAAGACCCTCGAGCGCTCCTTGAAGAATCCGAATGCTGTTGTCATTCAAATGCAACACTGTCAGTGAAGTCAGCTGTGCGAAGGTGGAAACACCCAGTTCCTCAATCTTATTGGTGTTTAGGAATAGCTTTGTCAACGCAGGCAGCTGCTGAAACCACTTTGGCTCTACTCTTGTGAAGCGATTCCCACTCAGATCAAGCGTGTGCAACGCGTGCATGTCCGCAAACATCGCGTCTGGCAAGAACTCAAGGAAGTTGTTGCTGAGATCAAGCGTTAGCAATCGTAAAGCTTGGGCCTGATTCGGCGGCGACACTGACAAGACATTGCTGTTACTCAGTGTCAAAGTTGTCAGGCTTGCCATGGAAGAAAACATGCCCAAATCCGTATGATTGGCAATCAGCCCATTAATTTCGAGAGTGTTGACGTTGCTCCAATCGCCTTGGTAAACGACCCAGCTCAAGGCCTGCTGCGAAATTGCACCTCTCAGAGTCAATTTGCCGACTGCGGGGGAAATGCTCCGGAGAGCTTCCAGTGCTTGCTGTTGTGCTGGCGCATTCCGCTCGCCCTCAAAAGAGATGATAAGAGTGCCGTTGTTTGAAGGTGGTCCAGTGCATTGTGCGTTCAAAACGTCTTGGAATGTGCATGTGACAGCTTGGCTTGCCGGTTCTGCGCGTCGTCGCCGAGAGACGGTTTTCATTGGAGACGACGTGGCAACATCTTTCGATTGCTGGCGTGACTGTGGCTCTGTTGGCGAGGCTGCTGGGCAACCTGCAACCTGCATGAGGCGAGCAATTGGCGACAGGTCAACTTTGATGTTGGTGCGGTTGTTCATTGGAAGCAACAGGCCGTCGGGGGAGAGGTCCTCTGTGAACGTGATGCCTTGGTCTGACAAGACATGTCTCAGCTGCTGCAAGGTTTCATCTACCGAAGTGCACACCTGCTTTGCGTGTGCGTAGTTGTATGTGGGCATGTGTGTGTGTGTGTGTGTGTGTGTGTGTGTGTGTGTGCGTGTGCTGTCATTGATGGGTCGTGAAACGGACAGTCATGAAAAGGTCCACACAAAACACGTCCACATGAACAGCACATTGACCCACACCAGACACAGATACGGACCTGTTTGACATGATGGCTGTCGGTGATCGCACCCGCAGTAGGATGATGTTTGAGGGCGAGGGAGTGGAAGAAGACGACAGTGAGGAGGGAACAAAGCTTCCACCACCGGACGGTGGTGGTGAAGGAGGTCGGGAAGCAAGTCATTGCGTGAGCGAAGAAAGGAAGAAGGAAACAATGCAACCGCTGTGCCAAAGCGATCAAACGGCGAGTTGCTGCCGGTCACATCAAATTATTAAATGCTTGTTGTCCCCTTTCCACATTCGGTACAAAAAAGGAAAGCGATGTGTGTAGTTTTTTTTTTTGTATTGGGCGGCAAAAGAAGAAAAGAAGAATGTACTTTATTCTTTAGTAGGAGTCAACGGTGCCTCGATGCTGGTCTCGCGACACATGCACGTTGTCCCAAAAAGGAAAGGTTCACCGCCTCTCGGTTGCAAATGACCGTCTTCCTGCATTTTTCAAGCACGGTATAAATGACTAACTTTGTTCATTTTGTGACCCATTTTCAAACCGGGGCTGCCAATCTCCCGCCACCCAGAAAACCTGGCAAAACTGCACAACCTGCACACACAAACAAACCACACCACCACAACACCGCAAAACCGCAGCTGACCTGACTGCTTTCCCCACCCACACACACCACCTCCAGCCACGACCATGGCCACGACCATGGCCACGACGACCTTACCGAGCGATGCTGAGCTGGAGAAGCTTGTTGAGGAGGAGCTGAGCCGCCCGGGGCTGGACCTGGGTGTGGTGACGCGCAAGAGCGTGCGCAAGGACCTGTCTGAGCGGCTTGGCGTGGACCTGACGCCGAAGAAGGCCGTGATCAATGCCGCCATCATGGCCTTCTTCACACGCCAACAAGAGGACCAGGAGCAGGAACAGCAGAGAAGGAACGGTGTTGGGGCGAGCAGTGATGGCGGCAGCAGTAGCGTGAAGCAAGAGGGAGGAGAGGCAGTGAAGCAGGAAGAAGCGCAATCGCACCCGCAGAAACAGCAACATCAACAGCAGCACGCCAGTGAACAGGCTGCAGAGGATGGGGAGCATGCTGGCGAGAGCAGTGACGAGGAGGAAGGCAAGTCGCCGCGGCAGAGGGTGTCTGTAGGAGACATGGACTTGAGCGACAGCGACATCGAGGACAGCGAGTTTGTGCGCAAGAAGAAGCAAAAGCGCAAGTCTGCGTCTGCGCGCAACTCAACGGCAGGTGCAGGGAGCAAGAAAGCAGCCAGCGGCAGCAGCAGCAAAAGCAGTGGCAGCAGTGGGACTGCGCGAAAGGGCGCGCCCACAGACAAGCTGTACGTCTACAATGTGCAGCTCACAGAGCAGGACGAGATCAACAAAGGTCAGTGCGTGCGTGTGTGTGTGTGTGTGTGTGTTGTGTGTGTGTGTGTGTGTGTGTGTGTGTGTGTGTGTGTGTGTGTGTGTGTGTGTCTTTGTGTGCGCGCTGAGGCGCTAGCATCCACTGCTTCCTCCACACAGTACGTCCAGCCCAGCGTCCCACTGTCTGAACCCTCATCCCAATGCAAACCATGATGGCCACAGCTAACGCATCTTTCCCTCATCAACACACACGCACACACACACAC